CCTACGCCTTCGGAGCCTAGGGACTTAAAAGGCTTAAACTCAGAGAACAGCTTGATAGAGGGAAACAACGAGACAAGGCTCTAAATGCACCCATATTCGCGCCTTTGTGTGTCGTATTTTTTAAGCTGGCGTTTTCATTCGAAAATGTTTCTGCCCTCGCCGTAGAGCTGAAGTCTGTGCAAAGAAAGTAATAGGCGTAGGTAGCTACTGCTGGCAATAGGCGCGCGATCTCTCTAGTGCAGCAAGAACAGTTAGCTTGGGCAGGGAACTTGCAGCCTGTGTAAGTTGGAAGAAAGTACGGGATTATGAGGGGGAAGGGTAACAGCAATAGAGGACAGAGGCATGTGACCGCTTTATGAAGGGAGAAAGTATAAGGCGTAAATAGCAATTGCTGGCAATGAGCGCAGCAGCAAGAATAAGCGGCTTCAGCGGGGAAAATGCAGTCCGTGTAATTAGAAGGCGGATAAGGATTTAATCCACAGCATGACTCGCCAATTCATTGGCTAGGTGCAAGGACCAGATAATGACAGAGACAGAGAGGCCAACGACTGCGTAGACTTCAATATATTCCAAATAGACTATTCAAAAGAGGGTTGTTTTGCAGTTTGCTCAGAGAATGGGAGAAACGTCGGCTTGATGAGGCTGGTTTCGGTCGGAGGCTGAGTCAGGCTTGCCAGTAGATAAGATTTTTCATTTCGCCATCGACAGACGAACAGATCCATGATATGAGGGGTGAGAAACAGGTTCACTGCGCACATGAATACAATCGACTTAGCGATGAGGAGGACGAGAAAAAGTACACAACTCTGCGAAAACCTTCCTATGGTAGGCATTGAAACAAGCGAAACATTGGCCGAAAAATTGTATAACACTTTCAAACAGGAAAGACAACTAAGAGTGCATCTACAATAGTGACTGATATTGGGCATAGCACAGAGATAAATTGCATGAGGTAGCATGCTGGTTATTGGTTTAGAATCTGATAAGCTGTCTAGATCAGTCGAACTCGGGGACAAAGACGACTTAAGAATAGATTGTTCCTTCTGATTTGTTAGCATATATATTAAAGCTTATCCCCCAGGAAGGGTGTATTAAAATCGGTTTCTGTTAGTCAGCTCTAAAAGTCGTACTTGAAATGAGTATTTGTCACTTCTGAAAATATTATAATTACCATTTTAAGTGCTCGTATTACTATTTACACAGCCCAGTATGTATCATTTGCAAATACTATACGATCGCTAATAAGCCTATAGCAGAGACACTGAGAAATCGACGAACCGCGCGTCGCCTGTAAAAATAAACGCCAATACTAACCTCAGGTGATATCGAAAAGCTTACCCCTCAAGCAAAACATGAGGACGCGGGTACCCACAAATTAACGTAACAAAAAAGTAAATTATGGTGGAGGTGCGCTCAGCAACCAGTTTACCGGACATAATTGCCCTGTCGTGTCTTAGAGCTCACCCCAGGGCCACCGCAGGCGGTCGCATAGGAGTCAGTATTGAAGAGAACCGACAAAGTCAAGGCAGACTGGAATGGCAACTTTCAGATTTTAGCCGTCGTTAGCCAGTCCTACGCCCTACAGGATCTGAGGACCGGGCCTGCGTTCTTTTTTTGAAGCGCGACTAAGTATACATCTCAAATATGGAGACCGGGGCGTGGGGTTGTGTTGGCTGCGATCCTGATTATTAATTACGGTGCAAATGTGTCCGTTAATCGGGCTGCGGAACGTGCTCGTCCAAAAAATCCGGGTTCGAGTCCCAGGTCCTGTACACCCGAACTGACGACGGCTAATAATGCCACAAACAAAAAGCTTCTTATGCATGAAAGCGAACTTTTTGTCCGAAAAATAGCTAGTCTTACGAATCGACGGACAAGAGGGGATTGTGTAACACGCAGGCATTTCGGAATTGGATATTCACCGATTTCATTTCAGGACGAAGCTTACTAGTTCCGCTTTGCCCTTGGGGCTTCAATGTAGGGTCAGAGAATGCACGCGTAGGGCCATAATCAAGGACAAAGAGAATTAATACCCACAAAGATGGAGAGAAAGTAGGGCGATTGGCTGAATGTACAATGGTCAGAGTCCGGCTGATTAATCCAAATCATCCGGGACTAGGGTTGGGGCATCGAGGACAAGCGACAGTTAGCAAGCCAGCAGCTCGAAGTCCTTACATGTACTGCTTTACGAACCGGCTTAAGCCAGTTGTTACCCTATTTCGCATTACGCCTAAGAATTTTTGTAATTGTCCTGTAGCGGCCTCAAGAGTGATTGCTCACCGAGCGTCACAAGTCTCGATTGACAGTATAAAGGTAAAATCATCTGAATGAAGGCGTTAGTGCATACGGGGACCTAAGTTGCTATTTAAGGCAATAGTGGCCATTTACGTGACCATGTGCTGACGGTGTTAAGCCATGCTAGAGAAGGAGAGAGCGAAAAACGGACAGAGAGGAGCGGATGATCATGGCAGCGGATTCATGGATATGCTGAAAGAGCGCCTCGTAAAAAAGACCTGCTTTCCGCATTTAAAAATTATCCTATTGGCCTGGTATTGAAACGATGGAAAGGGCTGATAAAATTATACGTTCGAATGGCTGAGTTCTGCCACAAAACTCAATGAGGGGGCTGGATCATTTGCACTTGTTGTGGGTGTGCTTATGCTAGAGCTAGACGATCTCAGTGATAACGTGACAGTGGAACTGGGGAGTTAGACGCACTCTCTTTACCAGCGACAAAGGTCTAAAAACCTTGCCAAGAACTTGGCGAACTGTGTCCAGCCAAACTTTGAGCTGACCTCATAATCACCTCCAGTCAGGCGGGAAAGTCATTTGTTGGACGACAGTGCGCACGTCAGCCATCATTGGTAGAGGGGTTGGGATATTCCTGTGATGTTTTGGAAACGAAAGTGGACTACCCTCTTGGATAAGAAATCCGCTAATTTGACTCAAAGGACGGTGGCCAAAAAATTCAATTTCCGCTTGTCTCCTGCAGGAATGGTCCAATACTTACATTCGCCAAGAATTACCAAT